CGATTCCAGTGACGCTCGGTGCTGAGGAAATTGCTCTAGGAGCCAAATCTTTGCTTGGCGATAGTACTGTATTGCAGTGTTTCGCGCTAGCAGTTTGCCCTTCTTTACTTCACTAAACGCAAGATACATTCCAAACTTATCCATGACACATACAAAGCTCTTGCCACTTTCATCTGCCTCAATACATTTTCTTACAAATTTCTCTTCAACTTCCTCGCCCTTCAAAAACTTGGAGAATGCTGCGACAGCAGTTGCCTTGGCACGCAATGTGTTGCCGGGCTGCAGCTCCTCCAAACCCATCATGATGGTCCGATAAAGAGAAATATGAAAGTGATATGCCTAACACTTGACAATTGAATGAACACACACATATTTTAGGAGTTGATCGGACCTGATACGCCCGATTGGGTGGTTTAGGTGACTCAACTACACCTACAGTGTCCTATTGGCTAAATATACAATTGTTATTAGCTGTGATTGGCTAAAATTAAATGATGGTAGTTAATTGGCAATTTTTTTTACCTATACAAAGTTCAAATATGGTCCGATAATCTAACATATTCATCCATGTCATACTACTGCGTGGCCACGAGGGCGACAGCGGCGGAAATTAGGTAGGCGCGAGGCATGTACACCATGGCAGACTTTCGTCGAGGTGGAGCGAAGGCTTAAGGTAACCCTCTCGCAAGCGAGCAGAATTGAGAATGAGCAGGGCGTTAACCTCGCACAGCGAGCTGCTCTACTGCTCCCTGGCTACTACATGTATTAATATTTGTAGTGCTTAGCAACTTGCTGTACACGTACACCACTTGAGCGTGACACTTTGAACACACATCTTGAGCGAGAATCTAAGAAGAAACCGTGTCCATTTGTAACGCGGACTTCAAACTTGACGGTCAAGGTGTGCAAACAAAAAACACGAGCTCTTTCGAGATCATGTAAAAGTAGTGTCTGTTCGACAGGACAATGCTCACCGAAAAAACTAATTGGCGGCTCGAACATCAACGTGGAGCGAAAACGAAATGGCCGCGTTATAGGAACGGTGAGACGGGCACTGTGTACATTGCAGCGAGCACCTGGGTTTCCTTGTTGTCGCGGGCTGGCGGCGACGCCCACATAGCGTTTATTAAAGCAGAGGACGCTCGGTGTCTAAAGCTACTCGTCAGCGCAACACAAAACGCAATTCGGCCGCTCAGCTTGCCGAGCTACTTACGTAAAGGTGCTCTTGATTTGAGATCTGCAGCTCACAGTGATCCTTTCCACAGCAAGAGGCTCAACAAGCGAGGACTGTCCTGAAAAGCGAAATAGAGTAGATTAATGCGCAACCAATTATGTATGCGGCTAGCAATTACTTCGAAGCACCTGTAAGCTGGAGATCTGTATTACATATACTTTAACCAACCCCGGAGACAGCATACATTGCTTCAATTAGCGTGTTAATAAGCTTACAACCAAAAGCCGCAAACTACTTTTTGTTATGGTTTACTCACTAAAATTTAAACAGTATCCAGTGGTGCTAACTGTATAATAATAACGGGTCGAATATTGATTTTACAGTCTGTAAAACCAATGATATAATTATATTTTGGTAGTATTCGTGTACTTAATTTGAAAAGGGTGCTTTATTCGGAGCAATATGTTGCACAGCTTTGCTTCCATTTCCTAGTGAAAACGTGTATTCTTATTAACTTTTCAAATTCAAATTTGAGAAGTTTGCAAGAGTGGAGGCGTGAGTTGCGAATGATCTCAACACATTTTAGATCGTCAAGGCAACGGAGCTACTTTTAGAGTATCTGCAGATCCTAAGACCTTGTTCGCGATGGCCTCAAAATCGGATTTTGAGGGCCATAATCTGGTTTTGGGCGATAATCACGACCACGAACACGACCGAATCAAAATCCTATTATCCTCTTTAAGAACAGCATAATCGCGTTTAGACGCTCAATTCGTTAAGCAGATGTGGACCTGTTTTCTGCAGGTAATCTGCTCGTTGAGTGACACAGTGTCGCTATTTCGAGTAGTTCCCCCACGCATTAGAAGCACAGAAAATCGTCGCTCTTGCTTTCAATGCTTTCTAAGCAGCAAATCAAGGTGGCCAAGATGGCGAAGGCTTCCTGTCGTCGGCCTGGAAAGAAGCCAAAGGCCACGCCCAACAGCGGCAACACTGACCACGGAAGCGAAAGCGACAGCGCTGCTGTGTCGGCGCCACCCAGGAGCCATGACGATGAGGTAGGCAAAGAAGACGAAGAAGGGGAAGCCGAGGGGGTCGTACAATTGCGTAAACTCCATGAATACGGTACTTGTGCACCTTGAGAACGCGAGATCGAAAAGCACTTCTTGAGATCGACACGTTGCCGCAGTCTCAAGCCAATTCAATGCGACGGCGAGAACTTCACGCTGGCTGCCGAGAGAACTCCTAATGTGTGACTGGCAGGCCTGAAAGAGGGCGCCAAACGCTTCCTGATCCATGCGAAAGTAGTCCCTGAATAGCGACCTGTTCTGTGACTCGAAGATCGCATCGAAGAAGCGCTGGCCGGTCACCGTTGTAAGCCCCAGTAGCCTCATGACCTGCTCGTGCTTATCTTTGCGCGACTGCTGCCGCAAGTGATGCAGCCGCAGCAACGCGATGATCATGAGGAGCAGCAGCATATTGCTTGTCAACGCGGAAAGCTAATGTCACTATGGAGAGAAGAAAAATATCCAAACATACAAAATCGTTCGCGTGAACACGACACGGCCTAAGTAGGATTATGCTACGCGCTCAAAATCCGTGTTTGTTTTTTGCTGAGGCGGATAATCACGATTTAGCTGCAGCAGAGCCCAGCGCGAACACGGCCTTAGTCATCTACAAAAGATTCTGAAATTAATTAATTCAAATATTTGGTTTATACCTTGTTGGAGGTTTTAAGCCATTGTCATTGACTATATTGGGATTGACTTTTTATTTGAGAAAAATATTATTTAATAAGGTTCGGTTTCATTATTAAGTTCGCTTTCAGATTCGCTAAGTTCGGTTTTGGGCTGACGCAGAGCTCTTTTGGTATGACAAGCATTCTCCACGTGTGCGCTGATAGTAGCGCTTCTGCGCCGCCTTGATCCGCTCTATGTTAGCGAGGTATTGTTCAGGTGAGTACGCCATGGTTAGTATATTAATAACTTTATATTTATCAGGATAAAAAAA